ATATCTTGTTGTCATTTGGACAGATTGATTTGAGATTATTAGGTTCCACTGTATTGGAATTGACATCGATAGATTCCAATTTCTCCTAGCTCGGATTAGGAGGAGCATCGTATACTAAGCATTTGCGATAATAAGCATTTCGGTTATCATATACAGAGGAGATCGGATTGTTATTTGATCAACAATCGCTAGAGGGTGGAACACCAAATCTGCTGAAATAAACCTATGACCTAATAAAGCCATAACCATGTTGTAACTGTGATAACCTTCGATCGATTACTAAAATCAAAAAAAAGGAGAGAGCAGAAAACTTGTGTGAAAGCAGTCATGTAAAGGATTCAGACCAAAGTTGTTGCATCGTCCGTCGGAGAAGATGAGTCCACAGCTTGGAGAAGAAAGCAGTCCACGATTTCACGTTTCGAGCGATTTTAATTCATAAGAAAGCATTCGGATTCCCATGCTTCACCGTCGGCATCCCACATCGATGGAGTTGTGAACAAAAAAATGAAGGTTACAAGTTTGGCATCCCACATCGCTGGTGGGACAAAAAAATGAAGGCACACATATCTAATAAAAGGAGACTTAGGTTCCTTTAAAAAAATCAAACCCAACTACTCGGTGGGCTAACTGGTTCTTTGAGCCCATGGTTACCTGGACCGATTTGGCCCAATTGGGAGTCCGAGTTGGTCCGATTTGGACCGAGTTGGACCGGTTTTGACCGATATTGACCAAGGCTGATTATTTTACCCTCTAACCCTTATTCGTAGGCGGATGGAGCCCGCCAAGCGCCTAGGCGCCGATTAATCGGCTGCCTAGGCCGATTTTTACAACCATGGCCGAAATTAAGAACCGAACCAGACCGCCGGCTCTACCGGTTCCGGTTCTATCGGTTCCCGGTTCCTATCGGTTTTTGTCGTGTCTTCGATGTTGGAACCGGTCCTCGATATAGCAACAAATGGTTCCGGTTTTTGCCGGTTCTATCGGTTCCAAAAATCCATAAGAATATCGTCCCGGTCCATCGGGTTCCGATTCCGGTACCGGTTCCGGCCGGTTCCCCGGTCCATATACTCATCCCTAACCAGGTCTATTGTGCCAAGTAAAGTTAGAGACACAACAAACATTTTTAACAATAGAGGACTTATTACCTGAAACATGGGGATCAAGATAATAAAGTCCCCTAGATTGATTACCAGTCTCCACCGTCCCCTTGGACTGTGAATCTTGAATATGAAAGTTATGTTCATTAAAAACAACTTCACATTTACTGTCCTTACAAAGCTTATGAATAGATAACAAGTTAACATTGAAATCAAGAACTGCAAACACATCAAATAGTGTAAGAGTGTTTGTCAGTTGCATGTTTCCAATTTTATTAATTTGGGCAGAGGAACCATTTAGGTGACTAACCCTAAGGTTCAGTTTAGATTCATCAACAGAAGCTTGAAGATGTGACTCATAACTAATCATATGTTGACTAGCTCCAAAGTCAACAACCCACTTATTACAATTAGTACTAAGGAAAGAGATGCATGAAATACCTGCCATATTGGCATTGGCATGATGTTTCATCAAAATCTTGTTTACTTTAACCAATGAGATTGAGAAACTTAACATATTGCTCATTAGTCAAATAACGACAATCATTACCATTATCATTAGTTCTAGACCCAGAAGACTCAGTCTGAAAAACAGAAGTAGAATTACCAGAGAAACTCTTGTTTTGATTGTTAGAATCAGACATTGGTTTAAAATCTTTAGGATACCATGTTATCTTGAAACACTTTTCTATATAGTGATCTTTAAGACCACAATGTTTACACTGTGATATTTGACCTTAGATTTAGACTTCTTCTGATCAACAAACTTAGACACAAAAGCGGAAGACGAAGTTTTAGAATTTGAGTTTAAAGAACTGGAATTATGAATTTTATTTGACTCCTCACGAGAAACTAATGATAAAGCAGTTTTAATAGATGGAGAGGTTCCATTAACAAAATATGACTTTTAACCTGATTATAAGACTCATCTAACCCACTCAAAAATTGCATTAATTTCATTAACTTTCAATGATTTTTGAAACTATTTGCAGCTTCACAAGTACACCCAGTAAGATTAGTTAGCCCATCAAATTCTTTCCAGTAAGAATCTAATTTACTAAAATAATCAGATAAGGACAAACTACCCTGAGTAAGTGAATTTATTTTGATGGACATTAAAAATAACAGAACCATCAATTTTATGATAAGTTTCAAATAAATCATTCCATAATTCTTGAGTACTTTCAGAGTAGGCATGATTAGCACACAAATTTTCAGAATTAGACCCAAGGATACAAGAATAAGTAATAGCATTAGCAAGTTCCCATTTAGATTCTTTAATAGGATCATTAGCAGATTTAGAAATTGTTCCATCAGTAAAACCAAGTTTATTACGAGCTTTTAAGGCTCTAACCATAGAACTACGTCATATTCTATAGTTTTCAGTTCCTAACAACTTAAAACTTATAACACTAGTAACAATATTATCAGAAGGATGAACATATAAAGGGTCATCAAAGTTTGCAGCAGGATCAGGCTTAGACCCACTAAAAGACTCAATTACATGACCCGTTATATTAACAAGTAATCAAGAACAAACAGATAAGCCTAAAATCTTAATTACAAATGAAAACACAGACAACAATGAAAGCCTTGAAGTCTAGATGGTCACCACAGTATGTTGGGGCCCAAGACAAGCGATCACAGTGTCAAGAGAAAACAGTAATAAGCAACACAAAAGGAACTGGCGTACTCAAGACGACCAAGATCTCCCAGAACAATATAAAAAAAAAGGGAAAAGAAACCCTCACAAACATTCCTGAAGAGCTTAAGTAACATAGAGAACCGATCGGCTCTCAAGATCCGTTCCATACTAAAGTTGATCGGTGATGAACTCCGATCCTTAGAGAGTTATTTCAAATCAGCGAGATTAACCAACCGATCTGGTAGAAGAGAGCAGTCTCCAGTCAACCAAAGGACAAGAAGCCAAGAACAAGTCTCGTAATCTACAAGAGACACATACAACTCGCAGTAACCAAGATCGAAGCAATAATAAAGAACAAATCGATCCAAAAAAACGAGACTGAAACCCTAGTTTTTCACACGAACAGTGAAAGAAAACTAGATCAAAACATATAGTGAAAAACCAGAAGTGATCAAAAGGAAACAAGTACAGTTACCTTGATTCACAAAGAAGATGAAGTTTCGATGAACAATCAGAGACTAGAATCGGAGCCTAACAACTCTGATACCATGTAAAAATTTGTAGAAACACAATTACCCAACATCATCATCTATTATATCATTTGAGGATCAATAGACAAATGGTTCTCATCAACTTACAATAAAACCTCACTACAAAATACCTACACTAAGAACTAACCCTAATCAGAGAAGGTGAAAACGAGAGAACAAGAGAGCACATAAAATCTGAATGAGCTGGTTAATGACTCTCCTCCACTTGTTCAACCCTTAAGTACCCGGGTCACACAGGATCCGAAGATCCGTGTATAAACCCATAAAATATTTGCTCAATTTACACCTTGCGCCCTTCACCTTTCAATAACTTAACCTGTAAAACCCTAAAACAAATAATACCACAAAATGAACCCAAAATAGAATAAGCAAAATGTCAGTTTGATCTTATTTTTATAAAAACAATTATTTATTTGAACATTTATGTACATTTTAAAAATACTTTTAATAGAATTTTTTGAGCAATTTCTTTCATTGACCATATAAGTTTGTGGCTTAGTCCAAAAATACTATGTATTGTTTTTCCCGACAATGAGCTTCTTTTCATTTCATAAAAATCGCGAATTAGTATATCTTAATTATTTCAAAACAACAATCAGTAATTTGATACGTCATCATTCAAAAGACCATTTTCTATAGGAAATTATTTATCACTTATAAGTTATAAACTAGCTTTTACATAGTTTTGGTGAAACGTTACCACATATTACCAAAATTACTCTTGTTTCATATAACTCTATGTTAGACCTAAAACAACAACTTTATCTACCGTCACGAGTTCAAATTGCTAAAGCCATATATTTGACAACCGTTCACGCGTTAAATTTTATTTATAATTGCATATCAACCTAAAAGAAGACAAAATAAAAATGGATCTAGATCCATTCGAATATATTTTGTATCATATTTAATAAATACAAGTAGGAGAAACACATGGTTTATAGGATAAGGAACATTAAAAGAAACTAATAAATACTCCAACAAATATGGTGAAGGGCATAAGTCTCGATATTATCACGGGGCCAAAACACATTAACATAAAAGGACAACCCCCCTTTCTTCACGGGTGCCTTTTCATTCCATTTCATTATTTTATCTCTAAGTAAATTATTGCATGTATTAGAATACAAAATAATAATAATAATAATAATAATAGTAATAATAATAATAATAATAATAATAATAAATTAATTAATTAATTAAATAACAAACCACATAATATGTTATGAGTTAATTCAAATGATCCAACTCATGTTAACTCATATAAAAAATATATATGTTTTTATCAAGTTATATGCCAACATGAAGTTATTTCTTTTGCTAAATTGGAAGTTAATGCTGTCAACATCAAAAATATCTTTGTAAAAGACAAAAGAAAGAAACATTTGAATAAAAAATGCAGATATTTTGTTATAATTACTACAAACTATATTACCGGTCGTTTATGATGTTAATCATGGTATCAAGTTTCCATCGAAAAAATATTTTATTATTAATGGAAGATTCTTATTAGATCATAATCATATCAAATGTTAATTTTTTTTCTAAAAACAAATATTTGATTTTATACGAAATTTAAAAAAAAAAAGTTCATTGAACCTTCACAAACATATCAAACCAAACATCTAGAGCATAGGACAACTGTGTCAACTAATTAAATATTCCTTTTATAGTCCCTTTAACCACAATAACTATAAATTAACACCCCCAATCATAGCATAAAAGGGCATCTAACATTCCAACTAGTAATCTTCTTTAAACTTCTTCTCATCTCTCTAAAATGGGTTCACGGAAGTTGCTTCCATGGCTAGCTATGGTGATGGTGTTTGTAGGTTTGGCTAAGGGAGACTTCGACAAAGACCAACAAGAGTGTGCAGACACTTTGATTGGGTTAGCCACATGCCTGCCTTATGTGAGTGGTGACGCCAAGACTCCAACCATGGACTGTTGCTCTGGGCTCAAACAAGTCGTGCAGAAGAACTTGAGATGTCTATGCATCTTGGTCAAGGATCGTGATGATCCCAAGCTCGGAATCAAGATCAATGCCACCTTAGCATTGGGTTTGCCTGATTCATGTCATACGCCTACTAACATCACTGAGTGTCCTAGTAAGTTATAACTTGTTACATGAATTGTAGGGTTTGTGAGTTTTTCAGACTTTATTCCTTTTGTCTGCTTATGTTCTATATACATCTTCGTTTAACGAAATTGCTAACTCATATAGTGATTTAATGTATTCTCTTACTGTTTTGTGTGTTTTTAGAGCTTATGAAGCTGCCACCCAACTCCCCAGAGGCCAAGATTTTTGAAGATTATGGAAAAAACGCAAAAAAGAACAACATCACCAACGTAGCTTCTCCACCAGGTAAATTAGAATTTTTTTTAAAGTTCCACCTTCAAGAATCAAATGTTTTGGTTTTTTTGAAAATCATAACTAACAAATATATGTAAAATTTTCAAATATATATACTAATTACTGGAACGATAACTTATCAATCAGAATCATGCATGAAACAACCGTATATATGATTTCATTTATTAAAACAAATGCTTTTATTTATTTGTTTTTGAAAATATATGTAATGACCATTATCATATTTAATAATTGATGCATGGGAGTAATTGTCATTTAATTAATATTATTGAAGGGGACACAAGCAACGGCAAAATTGAAGCAAGTGATGTTGGCAGGGGAAAGAAATGGTTGGGATTTGAGAAGATTTGTGCGGTTTTATACATTGTCATCATGTTTCTCTTTCAAATTGTCTAAATCTTTCAATAAATGTTTAATATCTCATTTTTATCATCAATGGGTTTCCAATATCTTGATGCTGAAAATTGAAATAGACGTCTAATGTGAAATAAAATAGATAGACGGTTCTTATGTTACCAATCACTATGGATTACATATGTATGTATGTTTTTTATTAGAATGAATTATAAAGTCTTTTTTAGCTATCAAGAGTTGGTGGGTGACCAATGACCATAAGTTGAAAACATAAACAAACAATTATAAAATTACTAAGTTGAATGTACAGAAGCTTACACAAAACAGAAAAAGTACTTGATTGAAGATTAAAACATGAATTTTTAAACAGCTAGATGCATTTGATTGTAGTGACCTAAGACAAAAATTCCTGCCAATAATCAGGCTAGAGGATTCAACTATCTATTAAAGATTGAATCTTGAATCTAACCAAAATCACTATGTCTGCCTCATGATCCAGAAAATGAATTTGCTAGAACATGTGTGATGTTTCAATCTTTCTGACTTCCTCAAAGTCTGTTAAAAACATGTCAAAAATCAAAAACAACTGCCTAAAACACGAGCACAAGTTTTTGTGCAGATATAGGCATGTGATTCAGTGTCCCGAGACAAATTTTCCACCAAGAATTTGTCCAGAAGATTCATCTTTCTATTCAAGATTGGATCTTGAATCCAACGAAAATCACTATGTTTTCCTCATGATCAAAAAAATGAATTTGCAGGATTATGTGTGGTGTTTCAATCTTGCCAATCGTCTCAAACTCTGTTAAAGACATCCATTTATAGGCTTTCATTCATGCCCAGTGTCACGGGGCCGACTTGAGTGTATGACACCATGCCTTATCTTTGACCGTTAAATATTATTTAATTCATGCCCATATCTAAAAGCATGCCCAATTCTTAGATGATGAGCACAAAATCATATGAAGATCTGGAAATTGAAGAACACAAAATCATATATGAAGAATACATATGAAGATCTGGCCAACAAAAACGAAGAACACAAATAAAGATCTGGACAAAAAAATGAAAAACACCTATGAAGATCTGGAAAATGAATACAAATACTTGCCAATATCTTAAATCGATCGACATGTATTTAGTTTTGGAAAACAAATAACGCATATGAAGATGATGAAAAACACGAGATGTAATAAAACATGATTTTCGTTAAAGATCGCTATGCAAAAAATTAGGACTTCGAGGGTGTTTGGCAGTGCTTTGAGTTTTGGCTTTTCATTTTTCTAAAAAAGTAAAAAATGTGGAAGATCTTTGATAAGTATAAAAGTTCTTTTTAAAACAATTTTTTTTGACAAGAATAAAAAAGTGGTTTTTCAAAAGTCATGAAATCATGTCTTTTTATGACTTTTAGACTTTTGCATTTTAAAAGTCTTAAAAACCAAACCAAATACATTTTAAAAACCTTCTTTTACAAAAAATAAAATTGTAACTTTTGACTTTTGCCATTTAAAAGTTTTAAAAACCAAACCGAACACATTTTAAAAACTTTCTTTTAGAAAAAATTCTTTTACAAAAAGTCATTTTATAAAGAGGAGTTTTAAGTTTAAAAAGTAATCCCAAACACACCGTGAAAATGATGAATGTCTGGAGTTTAGATGAAAGACAAAGAAAACTCATGTTGATAAATTAAAAAGTGAATAAAAACTAAGAAAATCAAGAAAATGTAAATCGGCAAATAAATGGCGTGTTCGAGAAAACTAGTCGTAATATACTAATATATTATTAGTGGTTAGAAGCTGGAAAATATAGTTTTTACTTGTATATGGGTATTCGGTAAAAATAGTTGGAAACATTTAAAACACGTAAAATTACATAAACAGACTTACCTAAAATAAGTCATGGAGGTAACTTTTTTATTTAAAGTTTTTTGTTTTAGCTAAAAGATAGAAAATCTTACTGTACAATTTTTTTTTAAAAAATTTTTCAAACTTTTTCTTAAAAACTAAAAATTAGGAGCTTCCAAAAGATACATGTCCAAAGAATAAAAAAATTTAATAATATATATTTTTTAATTTATAAAAATTTAATAAAATGAATAAACGGTCAACTGTGAAACCAAATGTGTTCTTAAGTTTAATAATACGAATAGTTTTACTTATAATTAATTCAAAATTGCGTAACAAATTAAGAAATTCAAGTCAACTTTTTTTTTTCGGCTTTGCATTTATTTTGGTGTTCAAATCATCAATGAAACAATATTTAAAAGAAAATGTTAAATCGTATCATCTAAAGCGTTCACATCAACTCGTCTTAGAACCTACGTGAGTTGTCAATCGTGAAACATTATCAATGTTTTAGGAGTATCAAGGTTTGAACCGTAGACCTCTTAAGTTTGCTCTTTTAACCACCACTCCCACCATGGTAGGAAACCATGTTTATCCGTCAAAGGTCATAGAAATAGTCAAATTCACAGGTAAAAGCTTACTTTAATGGTTCAAAATAGATGAAAATTTGATCATTCAATGATATTAACCCCTCGTTATATGATTTGATGTTTTTGAGTAATTGATATTGATATTTTCTTAAATAATTAAACATCATTTGGTAAAGAATGTGGACCATACATCGCAATAATTAATTTTGTTTCTAGTCATGTCTAATATTCAATACATATCGATTGAAGGCAAACGGGCAACAAGCTGCGCCGCTAGCCCTTTTTGGATGGTAAAACCAATTCTTTTGAAAACTACATTTGTGGATCTAGGAGATATGACATTAGAATGCATGACCCGTTGGACTCTATTGAGGAGCTCCACCGCCTCTGGTGCGAGAAAACCAAATGTATCGAATGAAAAAGGTACAAACACATGTTGATTTTCTATACATGCATTCTCGTGTTTTACCACTTTGCACGCAGCGGCTTTCAAAGCGGCATGCCCAGCTGTGAAACCCCCGCTCCCCAAACCAACGAGAGGAGAGACCCCAGTAAGATCCACGCACGCATGCTTCCTTCCTATCCATCCAAAGACCAAAATGCCAGCCGGTCTAAGTGTGAACCTTTCATCCTGCGGGTCCGTCAAAAAGTTCACCGGCGCTTCTTTCTTCACAAAAAAGTTCACCTGCATATATATAGAACACATCGAAACACAACACACACACACATATAATGCACTTCCTCCCCCACCTTAGCCGGATTATTAATTAGCAAAAGAGAACATGTGGTTATTAGTCATAGTTCTAAGTTCTAACCCTAAAGTTGACAGAAGAAGCAACGTCATTTATCATAAATCTTTCACAAATTAACTTGGATTAATTTAATTAGGATTAATCTGCTCATATATAAAATGAAGTGAAGCAAACAAAGAACAACAATATCGTTAAATAGGAATTAGACGGACTTGTCAAACTCTTTTATAAAGTATAATGAAGAAAATCAACAAGCATTTTGTCTATAGGTATGATTCAAGTCTATATTGGAACATATCTGAAAGGTAGGTTAAGAAAAATTAATAAATATAAAACAAAAGATCCGTAAACAGAAGCTGCAACTTTTATAATAGTTATATATCTATTTTTTTAATGTGTTTAACAAAATTTCAAGAACGAATATTATGATTGTCACTGAAGTCTAACATCTCATTGTGATTGATGTTTCGGAGTCATGATAATAGTATTTTTAGAAATAATTTAACATCAATTGGTAAAGATATTGTACCTTACGTAACCATATGGTATACATCATAATAATTATACATACATAGAATGCACTCACTATTATTGTCTATTGAGCCATAATAACACACCCCTACCTCAACCATTAATAATTTGCAAAAGCTAGCATATGGTTATTAGTCGTATATTGTTGATGATTTTTAGTATCATCATGTCATTTTATGTAATTGGAACTAACATATGAGCTAAGAGACTTCATAATTTGTACTCTAATATATGTACGGGTTTGTGTGGAGTGCACGCATGTATAAGATCCATGGTTGCAAAATCGTGATTAATCAGCGATTATCGTGGATTAATCGTTTGGCGTTCTCCAACCGTCGAGGATTAGGGTATTAATAGGAAATTTATGATTAATCGGTCTTGGCGGGATTAATCGGTCAACAAAAGTCAAAAAAGTCAAATAAGGTCAAAAAAAATTCAAAAATCAATTTTTTTTACTACAAAATTCACATATTATACCAAAATGTTCATATTTTGTATTTTCAAAATTTCAAATTACAAATTTTCTTATTTTTTAATTTTAAAGTACTTGTTTTTCTTAAGATATATTAATATTTGATTAATTTTAATATTTTATTAATAATCTATGGTCCTCGATTAATCTCCGATTAATCCCCGCCAAGACCGATTAATCCCTTAACACCAGTCGACCGTCGAGCTACCGTCGAACGATTTTTACAACCTTGATAAGATCGAATTAGAAGCCGGTTCGACGACAAGTCGGGGGGTCCGGGGGCAGCACCCCTGGGTCCGGGGTTTCCAAAGGGGCAGCGCCCCTAGCGGGGTCCAAGGGGCATATGGGAACATAGTGGGAAAAACGAATTCTTGTGGGTGATTATGGTAAAACTGACAAAATTCGTCAGTTTTGGAAACCCTAAATCCTTATTAAATTTTGGATTTCTTGACTTGCTTCCAAAGCAACCCATGACGGCCAACCCTGAGAGGCGAACCCTAATCTCGTCTATTATATAAACAACTCTTCTCTTTAAGAAGAGACACACGATTATTAACTCTCTTTTTCTTCAAACGAAACATAGAATCCTTCTAGAAATTTGGCTTACGACTTCTGTGCCTAGATTCGTAAGTGTCCTCTTCGATTATCCTAGGCTGAATTTCTTGCAACCCAAGCATAGGGTAGAAATATCAGTTCGGAAAGTGTTCACACGATCCAAGGGGTATCCAGATCTCCAACATAAACCCAAATTCCTCCACAAGCAAACTGATATTTGCTGTTTCTAGAGATGGGAGAATCAATCCGCGAGATGACCATGAAGTTTGCAAAGCTGGAGAAGTTCGAAGGCGTCGATTTCAGACGTTGGAAGAAGAAGATGAACGTCATGCTGACTACTCTGAAAGCAACATACGTGCTGACTACTCCAAGACCACCGGAGGTTAAGGAAGGTGCTATTGAGACAATTGAAGAGATAAGGAGGAGACAGAAGTGGGACAACGATGATTACATCTGCAAAGTTCACATTCTGAACGATATGTCTGATG